GTAATAGTTTGTCACAATTGGACTTACAAATTGTAGTATCAAGAGCCATGGATTGCTGAAATTATTCTACACAAATTCGCAATTTTGAAAAAATGCAAAAAAAAAGAAGCAAATTTTTTTTTTTAAATAAAATGGATAATTTGTTTACCATTATTTTCATTTATACCCTTCGTGGGTTCGTCAAAGAGAGAAACTTGGAGTCTTTTTCCCTAGACAAATCGAGAGCTCAGTAAAACTAAAAACCAATTCGACCCATTTCGGTTGAGCCCGAGACTACAGAGAACCCCGTCCCGCGTTTAAACCCTCTGGCGAGCTTTTCCGGCAGAGAATCCCTCCGCTATTCTCGTCCACGGCAGCCATGTACGGCGGAGGTGGGTTTCTCTCTAAACCCTTGAATTGCTTTTTCCTCCTCTCGCTTTTGTTCATTCTCGTTCAAGTTTGAGTTTTTTCCGTGGTGGGTTTTACAGATGAAGTTTCAGCTATAGTGGTTGACTTGGGTTCGCACACTTGCAAGGCTGGTTACGCCGGAGAAGATGCCCCCAAGGCCGTTTTCCCTTCCGTAAGCCACTCACTTCTTTCTACTCTTGGTCCTCGAGACTTCTTTAGGATCTTTTTCGTGCATTTTGATGTCGCAAGAGTTTCTATAAGCTTCACATTGGTGTTAGTGTAGATTTGCCTTTAAGTTCCTCGTATCTTTAGACATATGAATTGCACTTAGGGTTTGTGTTTTTCTCATGTGTTTATAAGGTTGTTGGAGCAGTAGATGGTATAGAGTCAATGGATGTGGATGTTGATTCTACAAAGACAATTTCTTCCGATGATTCGAAGACCAATGCTGTTGAATCTGAAAAGGAAAAGGGAAAACGCAAGCTATATGTTGGATCTCAAGCTTTGAGTTACCGTCGGGATCATATGGAGGTTATTAGCTTTCCTCTTTGATTAATGTTAAAAGTTAATATATTGGTTAGTTAAACTAGTGATTGTATATTTCTGTCTCCAGATGTTGTCACCCATAAAAGATGGCATAGTTTCTGACTGGGATTTGGTTGACAATATATGGGACCATGCTTTCAGGTAAACTGTATAAAGCATTATAGTTGTTTCTCTTAATTGTTGTTTGATTTCATCTCTAAAGAAAAATTCTCTCTTTTTCAAGGAGTTGTCTGATGATTGATCCTAAGGAGCACCCGATGCTGCTAGCTGAGCCTCCTATGAACACGCAACAGCAGAGAGAGAAGTCCGCTTATTCTGCTTTGAAATATCCTTTTTATCTTATATAGAGTCATCTTGTTGGAGTGTGTTACTGATTTTCTCAAATCATATGCTTGACAGGGCGGCAGAGCTAATGTTTGAAAAATACAAAGTTCCAGCGTTGTTTATGGCCAAGAACCCTGTACCGTCCTTTTACCTTTGGGTCATTGTTCATAAAGTTGATCTCCTGCCGGCTCTTGTGTAATCAGATGTCTAAATATCTAAATGAATTTGGCGTTTTTTTTTTTTGGTGCTAGGTTCTCACGTCTTTTGCTACTGGGCGTGCTACTTCTTTGGTTGTTGACTGGTAAGACTTTGAACTTTTCTCTAGTATGTATAAGCTACTAATGTTCCACTTCTGTCCTTTATGCTGTGAAAGTTTACCTTGTTTCTGTATGATGTAATTAATCTAAGTAGCACTTTTTACCTCCTACATTATTGTGTTTCAGCGGTGGAGGATCAACAACGATTGCCCCTGTGCATGATGGTTATGTTCTTCAAAAGGTATCTGCATTACTCGATTTTATAAGAATTCAGGCTTTGCGATGCTGTATTTGGGGTTTGGATTTTCTGTTGCAGGGGAAAAGAAAGTTTCCCATCTCCCGTTTCCAAAGTGTCATCTGCAGCTTATATAAATTTTCATCCATGTGAATTTTGACTAGTTTTATTTTTACAGAATTTATATAGATTGTATATTGATTTCTTTATTTCTGATTTTTGACCATACTTTTATTTGCAGGCTGTTATATCAGCTCCAATTGGAGGGGAATTTCTCACTGACTGCTTACTGAAAAGCTTGGAGAGTAAAGGAATTAAAGTAAGTTAAGACTATTTTTACACTGTTCTTTATCTTTTGAGTTAATGTACCTAACTATTGCTGGTCAATTCTTTCGCAGATAAGACCAAGATATTCTTTTAAGAGAAAGGAAGTTCGGGCAGGAGAATTCCAGGTGCATATGTGGATCAGTGGATGAAACTACTATTTGACATATTATTTATTTATT